GCACTTTTGCTTTAGCAGACAAAAATTGGAAAATATTTAGTTTATAAATCCTTTAGAATTTACCAAATTACGATGATTTATATTTATTAAATGGGATAGAAGATTAAAGAAAAAGCTTTATAATTGGAGATTAAGGAGGATGTACAGCAGGAAACAGATTAGTTGTTATGGATTTTAAAACCTTAAAAGTATTATTTGTTTAAGAAAATACAATCTATGATTACTATCTATTATTAGTAGATTCTATAAATTAACTTGTTTTTTTATCTACAACTGAATATACAAATACATTGGTCTGGTTTGATGCTATTAATAGAAAATTAAATTCCATTGATATAGGTTATCAATATATTTATTTTTTCTTTTAACTCCAAAATAAGACTTAAACTTCATACATAATTTAAATGCTTGATAGCTCATTTTAAGTAAAAATAAAAATATAATTTAATTTTATTTATAATTTATTTTATTTTATAATAAAAATAGAAAGCCAATTTTCTTGAAGATAGGTCAATAGAGATATAAAATATCGATAAATAAAAAGATTTAGGAAATTTTACCATTTATCAATTTTAGTAAAGAAATGATTATTATATAGCCTTTTCTTATGATGGTTATTCTGGTATTTTTACTATTTTAAAAATCAATATTTCATCAAACTTAGTAAGCATGGTATGCTAAATAGAATAATTTTAAAAAAATTCGTATCGATATGATTTAGTTTAATTTTCAGATTTACTTAATTCTATCATATATCTAAATTAACAGGATAGCAATTTACAAATTTTAGTTTTAAATGATTTGTCTGAATAAATAATTTAAAGAATTAATTTGACAAACTACGAAGTAGTTAACTTTCAAGTTTTTGAAGATAGAAGATCAAATTAGACATTGATTTTTATATTTTCTGATTTTTTTTAAATTATAAATTTAACGAGCTTTTTAATTTAATAAAGAGAAAATTAAATATACGTTAATAACTTTGAACCTATGAATTTTCATTTTATTTCTCAATAATCATAAATCATAAATGTAATATTTTAGATTGATAATACTATGGATGTAATCTTATCTTAAAATCTTTAATAAATAAGGTTTAAATACAATCTGACTGATTATTCATACAAAATAAACTACTTAAATCCATACTAATCTGAAACTCTCCATTTTGATTAAAATTTAATTTAAAACTAAAATTAATTAGCTATTACTTTAACTAACAAGTATAAAAAAAATTAATTTTACATTTTAGATGGCTATTAATATTTTTTAAATTAAACATCAGCTCTATTACTAATATAAGAATCTGTTTAAAACTATTAAAAGATCCCTAGAATCAATACAAAAATTTTAAGTTTAAATCAATAAACAAGCAATATTTTATAAAAATATTAGTTTGTGTAATAAATAAATAACAAATATATTTTACTTTAATAATTAAATGGTTAAATTATTTAGTAAAACATATTTGATTTATAATAACAAAAATGCGTTTTGTCTTATAACTATAGTAATTCTTTATTGTCCAATAGCTTAAATTATAATAAAAAAAGAAATCTATTAATAGTATAGAATATCCCACAGATTTATAACCTTAGCAACTCATAATAATTAATAAGTGATGATTAACTTAAAATTTTTACACTTAAAAATTATATTCTAATTAATGATGACTATTTATTGTATACTTTTAAAAATAGCAAGGCAGAATTAATTTTGTATTTGCTTGATTTTTCAACCTTATAATTTTATTAAATATTCAATTTTTAGAAATCTAAAATAAACTCTTTTTGGAAACTTTACTACTCTTCATTCTAACCTGTTATTCTTAATAATGATATTATCTATTTTTGTTAAACTAGCCCTTCTCCTATTTGCTAACCTTTCTCTATAAAACAGTAAAATTTTATAGCACAATCTGCTCAGCTATAGCTTTATCCTATTAACAACCCAGCAACTACTTATTAAAAAACAAAAGAAATTTTTATATTTTACTATGGAGTGATATTAATATGCTCTTTAGATTTATAAAATTAGATTTGGTTAAATCTTGGAATTTAATACCCGCCTAGTTAATTGTTATCACAATAAACTATTTTGTAAAATGACAGATATGTGTTTTACTCTGATTAAAATTATTTTTATAAATTTGACATGGAATTAAAATAATATCAAATTTTAGAAGCTTAAATAACTAATTTAAAATATTAATATTTAATTACCTTTTATACTTTGAATAGCACTTCATATGTTTAAAAATCAGGTAGAATAATAGACACAAATAATATGATTGTAATTAAATAATAAGAAGAATATAATAAGTTTATTGGTTAAATATAAATGGATGACTTATAGTACCACTTATTTTAATCAGAAAATGGTGTTTACTGGCATAAAAATTTACTTAATATTCCTTATTAAATACTAAATTTAACATCAAACTAAAATCTTTAAGATCTTTATTTTGCAAGTTAATCGAATCTAATAGCAATATACGATTAAGACTCTTATTCTATTTATATTTATGATTTAATAAAGCATATTCCATTATTAAGCTAAATACCAATTAACTATAGTTTTGATTTATTAATTAAAATTGTAGATTGGACCACTTATAACTTTATTTATGTAAAGGGTTAAAATATCTTTCTATATAATTAATAATAAAATGATAATAAAAATCAACAATTAGCTTAGTTAGACTCAAATATTACAGAATGGTAATACTGTTTCAGTCAAAAAATTATAGTTGCAAAAACTTAAAAATAAAACATATTTATCATAAAGGTATTTTAATCTCATTTTATTATTTTTTTAATTAATTATATTTTAAAATGAAAAAGGTATTAGATGGAACTAAAATTTAAGTTGATACTTAGTTTTAATACTAAAATAAATAGGTTGTTTTATAACTTAAGTTTACTTTATCATGCAGTGAAAATTTGCTAATAATTTATTCTCCTATTGTTAAAATTAAAGACTTACTTACTGGTTTAGACTCCTAATAATTTAAAAAGGTAATTGAAAAAAAATTTTGATTTTATAGCTTAATCTTTTTTAATAATAATATAATAATAGGTTAATAATTTGCCACTTTAAAATTATTTTCAAAACATTCCAATAATAAACTCCAAAGAATATCTTTTAATATGTTTTATTAGCCCCGAAATTACCTTTTTTTATAGAAACAGTTTTAAAAATATTATTGAGTTGTTTGATTACAGATCTAATAATACAAACATCTATTATGATTTAAAATACAATACTTTAATAGGAGTCACAGGTGTTACAAAATAAATTAACATTATGACTATACCAGGAGATTAAGCATTATTTACATATAATACACTTAATTCATTTTAGTAAGGAGCTACCTACTTTTTTGATAACTAAACAAGTTTAATTTTAGTTGATGTTACACCCACAATATATCTATGCAACTATTTATCCAGAAATATTAGCACATTTAACACATTTATCAAAGATGCCTAAGGTATCTAGATGGACCAAAATAAAAATGTTATTTTTGTATTTTCATTCTAATTTATTTATGCTTTAAGCTATCCTGGAATGTAACATATTGAAACTTTTTGTTTACAATAATATAACCAAACAAATATTCTTAGTTTATATATAAATTAAATACTCTCTGTAATGATAGTCTAAACAAGTACTACTTTTATAGCTTTTGATTTAACAGAAGTTCTCTATGCAAGCGAAACTAATCTATTATAGTATTAAAATATCTAAAATGTGTAATTAAATGATGAATATTAAGTTTTTTACAGTCTATCTAATCTCTCTTTAAATTTATTCAAGAATGCATAACTTGTAGATTCTTTGCTGTTTGAGCCATTTGATTATAATAATAATCCTTATTTCACAGAACCTATTTTAATATCTGAAAATTAATTCATGTACATCACATTTAATTATTTAAACATAATTTAAGTAGATTTAACAACTAATTCTTTAGTTTAATTATTTAAATTTGCTTTAAAAAATACTCCTGATAATTTTTTTTATGATTATATTCAAAACTAAATAATTCTGCTCTATGAATAAATCCTTTAATTGAATGTAATCAAACTTTAAAAACAGGACTTTAAAGAAGTATTTCTTGCTAACTTTGAAGATAGTGATATTTAAAATGCTTTCATCTGTAGTTACTATATAGTTATTCCTTCTGATAACTATATTTAAGTATATGATATTTAATCTAACTCAATGAATAAAATTATATTACCTAATTTAGGTTAAATTTAACTCTCTTTTAAATTGCTTGTTAAATAGTTTGATAGTTAATAAGATGCTTGGTGGTAAATCCCATTTGAAGACTATAAAAGATATAATACTAATGACTGGAGCACATAAACAAAATATACAAAAAATATATTAATAGTATAAAAATAAGATATTGGAAATATATTATTAATTATTGATTTGTTAAGCCTAGAAATAATTTAGAGATATAGCATAAATCAGTAAAAGGTCATGAATATAGTAAATGATCCTTTTAAATAATTAATTTATTTAGTAAATAATGAAGGGGTTACAGAAATATTAACTTATTCTTTAAAATATATCGCTTCAATAAAAAATCCTTGTTTAAAATAAGCATTTATATCTTATGATGTAAATTTTGTGTATTCAATTTGTCCTAATGATATCATAGTGTATAATGGAATTAGTTTTGAGTAATAATTTCCTACAATAAATCACGGTATCTCTGAAGTTAGTAATTTAATAAATATGAACTATGATAACTATATAATCGTTATTTAAAAAAATAAATTATCCATATTTTAATTAAAATATAATGAAACATATTCAATAATCTATGAATACTATTAATAAAATGTATTCATTAACAGCTTTTAGCTGAGTGCTGACTCTAACAATCAAATGTATGCATCGCTTATAATTTCAAATTTTAAAAATATTTCTAAAATCTAGTTACCTCTTACATAAAATAATTTATGCTATGTAAGAATACAATAGTAAAATAGAACATCAGAAAATATTTACACTAAAAATACTTTAGACTAAATAAATAAATCTTTGTAGACAACAGAATAAATACTTTCCTTAGTAGAAATAGAATATCTCAATGGGTAATCTATAGAATAGATGGATTTTGTAATTTAAGATTAAAACAT